TTTCCCTGCAGACCTGGGGATATTTCGCCGGGCAGCGATGGTGCTATACACGGACTGTATCCAGCAGTGTAGCCGACCAATGTACATGGTAAGTTTTCCCTTCATCTCGACGTCTCCCTCACCAGTCACTTGTTAGGTGATGTGCAGAGGAAAGGGTTGTGACTGTTTGAAAAAGTGAGGCTTCCCTTCTCTCACAAAGTATGTGGGTAGATGATACACACACGTGTAGTGTGTGGAGCTCTAGTGGAGCTGTTTGCTCTAGCCAGGCCTCCCCAGTTCCAAGGCTCAGTGAATAAAACATCAGAGCAAAGGTGCTACGAATGCAATAGGATTTGCCTTTGCTCTTGATCTCTGGGGATGTCAGTTCAAAGGGACTGGCATAAGGCTTTGGGCAGCAATTGTAATGGCTCTGGGACTAAAGCAATGGTTACTGATATTCCTACAACACCTAAGGGAGATGGCAAACAAGTAAGAAACAGTAGCTGTTACCTTATATCCCAGTGACTCCTTTCTACTTGGTACAGAGTGCTAATTAGAGCTTGAAGCCAAGTGAGCTTTTATCTGTAAGCATCCGTCTCATTAATCTTTATTTTAATTCCTCCATCTCTGAATAAGTGTCAGACTGAATTTTGCAAGTAAACTAGGTGCGCTCAAGCATAAAGTAAGCCTGGTTGGTCTGAAATAGCTATGTCATGAAAGCAGCCATAAGCACAAACGTACGTTCCCCACAGGTGTATCCCTTCGGCCTGCCACAGTTACAGTACTTCCCTAGATAATGATGGGATTCGTGAAAAAGGACCCTTGCTTTGTGGATATGTGCTCAGTGCTATCCAAACCTTCCACTGCTTCCTCTTTCAAGCATGTCCTTCCTCTGTGTGGTAACTGTTCTATTAAATAGAGGGGGAAATCTAACTTGGAAACCGGTGGAAACTTAGTCAAAGGATTCACAGACAGGTGAACCTCCTGAGACCGCTCCTTAAGTGTGGGGCTTGTCATCTTTAGATGCTTAGTCTCCTTCTTGCAATGCTCTCTTCAGATCTGTGAGTTTCAGATATATCTGACAACTGCTCCCACAGAGCAGATTTGAAAGCTCTGCGCATATGCATTTGCAGGAACTGGACTCCAAATCATCAGACATTGGTATCTCAAATTTCTGAGGATGAGGCCTCTTGTATTTCCTTCTTCTTTCATATAAACATCACTGTTTTCTCTTCAGGACAGGATGGTGCTGCTCATTGTTGGAAACCTTGTCAACTGGTCCTTGTAAGTGGTGGGGTACATGTGTCTCATGTACTTGTGCATGTACAAGCTGGATTGCACAGGACTGAGTACTGACATGTAGGTGGCCTGAGGTGATGGGGAAATGTGGTAGTCTGCCACCATCCTTCTGTGCTTGTGCCAAAATATGTGTGAAGGGGCAAAGAGATGGATCCAATGAGCAGAGTCAGTAGGCAGATCCATGGGATGGTGCTCATTGGCTTCATTTGTCTGAGCTAGCTTGTTCAGGGCCAACCGGGCACCTCAGGGCTGTGTCGTGCTGCACGTGTACTTCCCATGTAGCTGGGAGCTCTCCAGCATGGCTAAGGTGCAGGAGACTCAGAGATGCTCATTAGCCAGATGGTTGCAGTGTCCAGTTCCGCAGTAATGGTGTGGCTGGAAGGACTGGCCCTTGGATAAGACTAGAAATCCTTGCCCCAAGCCTTTGCTTTTCACTAAAGCTGCTTTTCAGGAACATGCCCTCTGCTACACATCCAGATCTGCAGCGAAGCCCTACAGAGGCAAATGTGTTTGGCCACAGGTGGAAGCAACCCAGAGCTCCTGCCCTTTCTTCTGGGGTCTCATATTGCTCATGGGGGCTGAGCGTGATTGAGCCCGCTCTGCTTTGCTTCCCAGCAGAGACAGCAAAGGCATTTAGCATGTTTTCTCCAGGGGATTAGGAGGCTGTGGCAGTGTTGCAGTGCCCTGCGGTCTAGGGAGGGCAGTGGGCGGTGACTGGTTTGGGGACCTACCCTATGCCACTATGAAGGAGGCCAGTTCATCTCTGTTCTTCCCTCTGCCTCCTCAGTGCTATCTTTGGACTAGTGTATCGGCCCAGAGACTTTGCCTCCTATATACTGGGAATCTTCATCTGTAACCTGTTGCTGTATCTGGCTTTTTACATCATCATGAAGGTAAAGTGCCTATCTCCACAGCTACCCAAGTGGAAGGGATAGGCCTTGCTTTTCCAGGCTTGTGATCTGGGCTTCTGCAGTGCCACAGAGGGGCATGGAGGGGCCTATGAGGGGCTTGAGTGGGACAAGGTGTCGGTGTTAGGCTGGAGGCTGCCAGCCTACCAGTTCATGCAGAGCTGCATGGGTGTGATTTTAAACAGCATTAGTGCTGTTTTGTTGTGGGTCATGAGAATAACTATCTCAGAAAGTAGCTATCGCCAGGGTCCGCGTTTAACTCGAGGAAACTTAATTCCTCTGGGGCTCTGCGAGACCAGCTCCTCAGCCCGTGCCTTGAGACAGCTGTTGCTTTCCAAAGTGCAGCTTGGGAGGGCTGGGGCAGGGATACCTGTGCTAGCCCTGCAGAGAGACAGTCCTGCTGGGCAGCGCTCCCTTTCCCGGGCTCCCTGCTTCCCTTTCCTCTTGGGAATCACTCTGGAGGTCTCGACACTTGTGCTGGGAGCAGAGATGTCAAGGCTATGTCCAGAATCCATGTCCTGCACTTGGAAAAATGCCTGCTACAGGAGCTGCGTCCCCTGTTATTTCCATGGAGTTGCTAGCAGGGAGGTGTGAAATGGCCTGCGCCAGGTCCACGCAAGACACTGAGGCTGGCCCAGTGTGTGAGGAGTGGGTGTTGTGTACACAGTGCGTCTTAGTGGTGTGTGGGCTGTGTCCGGCAGGCAGTGCCCAGGAGCTCTGCCTGCCTCTGCAGCCCTTTGTGGGTGCAGGCAGCTCCCAGATGATCCCTGCTGGCCCGTGCGTGGCTCTGGGCCCACGATGAGGCTGCATCCCTCTCTGCAGCTCCGCAGCTCGGAGAAGCTCCTGCCCATCCCCCTGTTCTGCATTGTGGCTACGGCAGTGATGTGGGCGGCTGCCCTCTACTTCTTCTTCCAGAACCTCAGCAGCTGGGAGGTAAAACACATTTACCTTTCCCCGTTGGCCTGCCTGTCTCTGCCTCTCACCATCTTTCCTTCCCTAACTCATTACCTCATTATTGTTCCTCTTCACAAAAAAAAACCCACTCACCTCTGGGAGTCTTGGGCCTTTTGGCACAAACGAAAAGCCTTCAACTCCTTCAGCAAACTGGGAAGGGGAGCACAGAAGGCTGTGGTGAGCCAAAAATGACTCTGTACATGCAGTCCTGGAAAAATGATATGACCCAGGTGATCCTGTGGTGCCTGGTCCCAAGCCCTTGCTAGGGGATGGAGGAAGAGCTGGGGATCTGAAAGCTGAAACTGGGCAAATCCTGATTACTTCTGGATGGCAGGCTCCTTCCTGGGGAGGAAAGCTAGCTGGGACTAACCTGCCTAGGGACACAGGGGCTCTCTGCAACCTGAAAGGCTCTTAAATCCAGACCAAATACTTTCTAACAAGATACAGCATTTGTCTCTGGAAGCGAGGGGCTTGCTGCAGGGGTGCCCAGGGGAGGTTGAGCAGCTTGTGTGGTGCAGGATCCCTCATACGAAGATGAGAGGGTTTCCCCTGGCCATGGCTTGTGATCCTAGATTGATCTCCAGGTCTAAATTACTGCACTGAGTTACCGCTCTCTCTTCACCTCATGTCTTGCTAATGCAATGCTTTATCCTGGCTCCTTAGGGAAGGTTAAAATGAGGCATTCTCCAGAGGGCCTGATGTGACCCTATGTGAGAGGATATCGGGGCCTGACCCTCTGCTCTCTCCCCCAGGAGACTCCGGCAGAGTCTCGAGAGAAGAACCGGCCGTGCATCCTGCTGGGCTTCTTCGATGACCATGATGTCTGGCACTTCCTCTCTGCAGCTGCCTTGTTCTTCTCCTTCCTGGTGAGTCCTGTTCCAGCCCTGCCCCCCTCTGCTATATGGCCTCACCCTCTCTTCCTCCTTGTCCTTCCTTGCCTGCCTCAAGATGAGGCAGCCCTAGGATCCCACAAAAGTGCTGCAGCTCCTCTTCCTCTCTTGAGAGACATGAACATACTGGAGCAAGTCCAGCAAAGGGCTACTAAGATGATGAAGGGACTGGAGCATCTGTCCTATGAGGAAAGGCTGAGAGCTGGGCCTGTTCAGCCTGGAGAAGAGTAGACTCAGGGGAGATCTGATCAATACATACAAGTATCTGAAGGGAGGGTGTGAAGAGGATGGGGCCAGACTCTCCTCCGTGGTGCCCAGCGATAGGACAAGAGGCAACGGGCACAAACTGAAACACAGGAAGTTCTGTCTGAACGTGAGGAAAAAAATTCTTTATTGTGAAGGTGACTGAGCCCTGGAACAGGTTGCCCAGAGAGGTAGTGGAGTCTCCTTCCCTGGAGATATTCAAAAGCCCTCTGGACAGAATCCTGGGTAATGTGCTCTAGGTGACCCCGCTTGAGCAGGAGGGGTTGGACTAGATGATCTCCAGAGGTCCCTTCCTACCTCAACCCTTGTGTGATTTTTCTGCTCTGTCCCAAGACCACCTTTGCAGTGATCACTGGGAGCAGGGAGTAGACTTTCTGGTTTAGCTTGTTCTTCCCTGGGCTTCCTGGCTTCAAATCCCCTCTGGGGCTGGGGGTCACACAGCCCTTGTAGGAAAACTGAGGGCTGCTGGTCTGACCTCTCACAGGTTTGTGAGGCGCTCCCAGCCTCTCATTTAGGGGAGGACTCCCTTCACCCTTGGCAGTGGGGTTGCTGGTGTGGAGCTTAGTTTACTCCTGGATTTTACTTAATTTCAGTAGTTGGCTCCTGTGCTCTCCTGTGTCCATCTTTTCAGGCCTGGTGGCCTGTGTGTTGCCAAAGGTGGAGGCGTCCACTGGGATGGGGGGACAGAGCAGTGTTTTGGGGCAGCAATGAGGGAGCAACTTACACTGGAGTCTGCATGGTGGTTGGGGCAGGCCCAGGCTGCGTTGCTTGCTCAGGTCCTTGCAGCACCATAGTCGCTCTGCCAGAGTAACTTGCTGGAGGGGTTACAGAAACAAAGTTAATCGGGCACATCTATATGAGCCACTGTTGTAACTCCCATACATCGTGGAGACATGGTCCAGGTGGAACCCTGCAGTGATGGACACTGTAAGGAGCTGATTATGCTCCCCAGCTGCAGGCTGCCCAGTGAGGGCTGGTTGGCACCTTGTGGTTTCTTCCTCCTCAGGTCCTGCTAACCCTGGATGATGACCTGGACACAGTGCGCAGGGACAAAATCCCAGTGTTCTGAGCGCTGAGGGGAAGCGCGGGGTGTCCTGAGCTGCTTGGCTGGCCAAGGGCGCTGGCCACAGGTGTCCATGGGAAACAAACCTGCTTCTGTGCCCAGCAGCCCTGGGGGAAAAGAGGAGCTGGATCCCATGCAAGCCCAAAGGGATGCTGCAGTAACTGAGGCAGGACCTGAAGGAAGGATGGTGTTTGCTCCTTTCCCGCAGCACGTGCTGGGGCAGGCACTGCCTGAAGCCAGTGAGAACTTTCTGGCTTCTGCACCTCCAGTGGAAGCCAGTGAAGAGGGAGTAACCGGAGGTTTTGGTCATTGACTCTGGTGAGTGGGCTTAAGGTACAATGCAGACCCTTCCTGTGTCCACAGCTGGTGCCTGTACTCTGGGGGCTGCTGCTGGGTCCCCTTGGCAGGTGCTGGGGCGAGTATTTGGTTCCTGTCTCATGGCTGTCCCAATGTGCAAAACAGCTGCTGGGTGAGCAAAGGACTCCAAGCTGAGGTGGCAATGGGGGATTGTTTTCTTTTTGTTGGAGAGGCTTGTCATGCGGCTGGAGGGGAGCCATGATAACAAGAAAAATCCATCTAAGGGACTGCAGTGTTTGAGGGAGATGGTGGACCGGAGCTGCCCATGAGTGCTCTGCTAGAAGGAGAGCCTCCTGTCTTGACTGTTGCAGCCTCTTTTCCTTATACACATTGAACAACCCCACCCCTTCCCTCTGGCAGCTTCTATGTGGCCGCTTGTCAGCGTGGCGGTCTCCTTTACTGCACCCAAAGTGCTGTCTCCAAGCAGGTATAAGAAGGGTGGTGTGGTGGAGTCACAGCCTTGTTTGCTGTGTAGCTCCCTGGCCCCTGCTGCGTGGTCCAGGGAGCCTTGCTAATTGGGCAAAGAGAAGTGAGGAACCTGTCCAGAAACCTCTGGCTCTTTCTGGCTCCTATGTGCTTGCTTTAGGCAAACTTGGCAAAGCAGGTTCCCATTCTGGGTTGGAGGTGAGGAGGAGATCTTATGAGGGCTGGGGTTGACCTCTTTAGATCTGGACTAAACTTCCCCCCACCCACCCCCCCACTTTTTTTCATCTGAAACAGTTTTTTTTTAATAGCTTCTGCATTCATCCTGAATTCTCAGTTATTTAAAAAGCAAGAATAAGATGTGAAATATTGCAGGCATTGCGTCTAAAATGTGACCTGCTTTGCTAGTTTTGAATTAAAAAGTATTCTTTGAGGCCTACTGTCCTTATTTTTGTCATTATCTGAGCATTTTTCCTTTGGTGTATGTGCATGTGTATGTATCCAGTGATGCAAAGGCTTTGTTCTAGTCATGTTTATGTAAGCAGAAGGCTGTGGTAATTTTCTATTCTGAGAAGTCTGTATTTTCTAGGAAGGTTTTGCACTAACAAAAGTGCAAAAAAAAATTCTTTTTCTTCCTCCTAAGTTGGAGTTTGTCAAGATGGTCAATAAAATGGATATTCCCAGCTCCCTGCTCTGCAGGTCAGTCTGAGTTCTTCTTGCTTCATGTGTTAGCAGCAAGGAGAGCACTCTAGGCAAAGTGGTGCCCGGTGGTTTAACACAAGAGCTATCATCCTTAGGTTTCACCAAGAGCAAACGCTGATCCTTGCAACCAGTTTCCTGAACGTATGTATTGATGCCTGGCTTGCTCTCCTAACCAAATTGCCTTTATGGGGCTAATTGCTGTAAAGAGCTGAAGTTCCTGTTTGTCACTAGACCCTAGGTGCATTGCCAAGAGGCATGGAGAAGGGATGCCCGGGGCAGGCTGTCGGCTGGTTATCTTCCCGAGTGGAGCTGCACTGAGACGTAGCTGCGTAGCTCCGTAGAAGGATTAGGCTGAAGATAGTCCTTATTTTTTCTCTTCAGCTACCCAGCAACCTTGCCATATGTTCTCTGTCTACCTAAAATGACAGACCAGTGACACAGACTTGCCTGCAGAGTCTTTTCCATTTGGGGTGTGTGGCAGGGGAGAAGGACTCTTGGAAAGTCCGAGAACAAAAGGTCCAAAAAAAACCCCACAACACCCCCTTGCTGCTGACTGCATCTCTCACAGCATGGTTGTAACTGGCTCCATCTGCACAGTGAGTTTTAAGTTTCTGTACCTGGAAGCGTGTGAATGTTTGACCCAACAGCTTCTTTTGTCCCCCACCCTGCAAATGCAAGGGCTGCTGTAGGAGCCCATGTTCTGCGTTTCCAGGTCTCTGACAGGTTAGCGAAACCAAAATCTGTGGTAATCTGTGCTACAGAGCAGGTTGAGGTGTGCAGGGTGGGAGACCTCTGGAGCCTGTGATCTTTTCAGAGCCCTCCTTAGAGGGCAGTGGTATATTCAGTGTTAGCATTGCTGCAAGTAATGTCTCTTTCCTCCTTTTCTCTGCCTCTTTAGTACTGGCTCACCCAGCAGGAGCCAAGGTGCAGGGCATGGCTATGTGAAGCCCTGCTGCGGGGTGGCAGTTGGGAGCTGCATGAAGAGCTGCAGCAGTGGCTTGTTGGGAGGTGACATGTTCCTGTGATGCTGATGTCACTAGTTAAGGTGAGCCACGGAGCAAGTCAGATGGTACTTCAGGGCCAGGAGAAGGAGCTGCCCTCCTCAGGGAAGAAAACTTCCTGCTGGAGTCCTCACCGTGGGCCTTGCACTGAAGTGTCTCATTCTAGCAAGTGCCTGGAGAAGCTTAGTTCAAGCCCCATGTGGACCTTTGGAGTGGGGTACCAGGTCTCACGTGTGGGCATGCTTGCAGGACTTGCAGTGGCGAGGGGAGCAGGTTAATTCCTGGGTCCTGGGGGCATGTGACAGGTGACAACAGGCAAGGCCTGTCTCCCTCCTACGGGACCTGGGAGGAGATGCGTTGCTCTTATCAGTTGAGGCCTTCTTGGAGGTGGGAGACTATGCTGGGGTAAGAAAAATGTTTGAGGTGGTGATAATGCCCTGCATTTGCCTGAGGCTCAAAGATTAGAGCATCTGCCTCATATAGAAACTTCACTAGGCTTGAGCTTTAGCTGCCTGGTTCTCTGGTGCCCATGCAGCAGTCGGACCATGCGGTTGCACTTGTGAGCCCATCAAATATTTTACACAAAGTGGGCAAGCCTGGCCAGAGATTCCAGTGCAGTTTCTTACAAGAACTAGCCAATGTTCCCTCTCTGAAACCCCTTGAGTTAGAGGTGGGGAGAGGAGGGACAGTTACAGAACCTCTTGATCTTGGGAGCTTAGCAGGCTGCACAACTGGTATCTAAAGAGGTGTTTTGGGGGGCCTTCACCCTGAGGGAGGAAGTGGCTGAGCCTGGGAGGAGCTCACGTTGGATCCTACCCCTTCGAGTCTAACCTGAAGTCCTGTTTGTTCATTGTGCCGCCTTTACCCCCACATGGACACCCTACACCCATCAGCTGCAGGCTCGGCCCTTGCCTTGTAGGGCATTAACCTGTGTTTAGATGCTGAGAAAGAGGAACAGCTTTTTCTCTTCTTGGTGTATCCTGTTACATGTAGGATAGGTTAAGGACGTGAGATAAGCTGTTGGGCTAGGGGGAAGAGCTCACATTAGACTAAAGAAAGGCTTATGTCCTCCAAAGTTGGTCTAGTTTTGTTACAACTATCCACCATTTTAATAAAAGATGCTCCCTTTTCCTTTGCCTTGCCTAGTCTGGAGTCTTAGCCCTTTGTCCAAGCCTGTATTTGTTTGTAACCAAGAAGCTAATTTATCTTTAGATATGAATCTGATTGATAGACTGTAATGTTGAACAGCAGTGGGAAGGGTTAATGTTGAAGGTGGAAGAGAGGACACATGGGCTAGCTCAGCTAAGCAGAGATGAGCACAGGTACGTGTGGCAAAGTGTTAGCAGCAGTGAGGGAGAGCTTGGCACAGGATGGTGAGCAGCAGAAAAGCAAGCAGAAAAGCATGCAAGAATTAAATTTGAAGCTAGCTAAATACAAGTAAAGGCATCTCAATTGTAAGAGATAGGAGGAAGGGTGGGAATTGTCTCCCTTCCTCTTCTGCACCTCCAGGTTGATGGGTCAAATTTTGAAATTTCCCCTAGGCTTTGCTCTGCTCTGGTTTGTTTATACTTGAGTTCTGCCACCTAGTGGTTGCTGGAGGACCCAGCCCGGTGGGAGCAAAGGCTGTTGTTTTGAGGTGTTTGAGTGCCTCTGGCTGGCAGGGTGGCCTAACGCAGAGCTGCCCCGGCACCAGGCTGTCAACTGTCCTGCTCTAGCTTAGCAACGCAGTGCTCAGCACCTAAAGGCTACTGAAGCCTGGAGTCCTGCAGTACTTCACAAGGTGAATGCATGTGGGGGAAGGCAGAAGTGCTAGGGGCCCTGTGCTCCCTGATCTGCAGGCAGTGCCTTTGGGACTCAATTACATCATCTCTCTTGTTTTATGTTTCACTTTTCTCTGTTCACTGAAGAAAATGGCATTAGACTGAGGTGTGGGGAGGGGGGAAAAAAAAAAAAAGAGCAGCAGTTATGAAGAGTGCGTGTGTTAGAGCTTCAGTTAGCATCTGAGGCTGCCACTCACCGTAGGCTCAGGCGCTTCTGCTGCCAACGGGCAGGTAGCCTGGTCCCTGCTCCCCTGCCTCATGCTCATCCGGCCGCCCACAGCCTACCTCAACAGCCCTTGAAAGGGAAGAAAAATGGTTGTTTTCTGTTGGACTTTCTGGCCCCTGCCACCCCCTTCAGTGAGCGTGTGGCTCACAGCAGGGGCTGAGGTGCACAATGGAAGAAGGGTCCGAGGCCCTGGCTGGAAGTGGTGGAGGCCAAACTAATGTTCAATGCATTATGGAAACCATATCTCCACAGCAATGCCTGCCCTAAGCCTTCAGCAGTTGGTTACTAAACACTCACATTTAGATGTGAAATCATGAGGCAGATGACCAGCCTCATGTTTTGTGAGCAGAACTACTGACGTGTGCTTGCATATAGAGCTGTGGTCTGCAGTGCCTGCAATGCTTTCCCTAGTGCTAAACCTGCCTTGGCCTCTGGATGCCTTGCTAAGTAAAAGGCAGCGCAGGGCGGTGGTCAGGCTGAAGCTGTTTTGGGTGGTGCGTGGCCAGAAAGCTGGTGCCAAGCAGCCTCTGCTTTCCAGCCAGGAGGAACATGACCTTGCTGCTTTGCTTTAACCTTGTGCTCCTCTTCACACAGCTCCTGGGCAGGAGTCTGCCACAGGTCTGCTGACTGCAATTCAAGAGACTAGATGGACAGATAGTAATACTCGTATACTCCTTTTTTGCTTAGGAGGTAAAGTTTTTTTTTTTTTTTTGTAGGTAAAGTTTTTTTTCTGTCCTGGACAACTCAATGTGGGGCGGGGGGGGGGTAGCTTTTGTTTAAATAAATAAATCCCTAAACCTCAAAATTAGGGATGCTGTTAGATGCATGTGAGCTGACAATGTTACAGCTACCACCAAAACCTCTGGGATGGTAGGAAAAAAAAAAAACAGCCAAGCTAGAAGGAGCATGTGGCACTTTGAGACGTGATGGCAAAAACGTTAGCAGTTAAAAGAAGAGTTTTTGTGCCTATTAAAAAACAGTGGCATTGACACAGAGCAGAGAGGCTTGTGGCAAAAATAAAAATGTTTGTTATCAATAGGAAGAGGCACAGGGTGATCTTGTACATTAACAGGATTTACATCAGCTGGACATGTGCTGAGGTAGGTAGGTCCTGGGGTGGGTGGGATCAGTTTGAGCCAGTCTCTCTTGTGCTTTTGTATGTGGTTGCCTTCATGTATGCTTGCATGTGGCCTCCCCCAGCATGTGTATGAGACCAGCCCTCCTGAGGCCCCAAAGCAACTTTCAGATGGGGAAAGCACAAGAATGATGAGTGGGAACTCGCTGCCCTGTGGCTCAGTTGTGGAGCCAGCAGCACAGGCTGCACACTCCCGCAACAGCACCTCTCCATCACCCACAGCTAAGTTCTGCAGTTGCATCAGGTGCCTGTGTGTTGTTCAATGTTAAGGGCAACAGCCCCTCCTTAAAGGTATTTAGATGCTTAATTTCCTGTTGTCATTCCAGTTTCCCTATTGACTATATGAAAAGGCAGGTCTCTACAGCCAGGGGGAGACACCTCTGTGCACTCAGTCAACAAGCTAGCACCGAAATTGGTCTGTTGCTCCTCCACAACGCTCAGCACTGTGAAGGGCAGTTGAACAGCCCTCAGCTCTGGCCTGAGACCTAGCAGTGCTCAGGGAGCAAGGGCTGAGACCAGCCAGCCTCCAAGCTTGGCTTAAGGTTACCATTACAGCTCGGAGACTGTGAAGTGCATGTCTGTAGTCATGCCCACATCTTCTTGATGCTCTAACAAACCACAGAGCTAGCACAAAATAGAAGTTAGTCTAACTTAGTAAAATTACTTAAAAAAAAAAAATCCTCCTCCATGAAGGCATTTTCTGTATCCACAAAGATTTTTTTTACGGTTTATGACCAGGGCTTCCTTTAATCCTCCAAAAGGAATTGCTTTGTAGTATTTCTAACTCTCCCTCAGCTCCTCATGTATTACTCCAGCTCCCAAACGGCTTTCATTTAGCCCTTGTGGAGTCTCTGTTGTAGCAGGCTATTCCAAAGCTCATCCTGTGGGTTCAGAACTGCAACCAAAGAAATGCTGTGTGGCGCTGGGCACGGCTCAGCCAACAAAGCAGTGAGTGGCAGGTACTCCTAGAAGCTGGTTCTTAACACAGTGATCACTGTTTCCTGTATAGGAGCAACATATGTCATGCATGATTTAGATACTTCATTATGAGTATGTTTCTTCTGGGCCATGGAGTCTTATATATCAAAATGAAGTGATATACACAAATATTCTCGATATAATTTTCCACAGCTAACTAACTCTGGTATATAATTTTCAATTTCCAGTCCCAAAAACAAACCTTTTTTTTTTTAAACATAGCTTGAAGAAAAATGAGTGGTTTTTCCAGAGGAAAAAAATAGTAACAAAAGAATACGGTACGCAAAGAGCATTTTTCTTTTTTTAATAAAATACTATAATGTTCATATCTATACAAATAATTATTACAACCATTAAACAAAGTGTTACATTTAACAATAGAAATTTCAGAACTCTGAACAAGATTATGGTTTGGGATATTTACACCTGACTGCAACACATTTGTAAAAAGATGTCAAAATAAAGAGAATAAGATCTTATTTACAATTGAAAGATGATGTTCCTGATCATTCGTTATATATTTCTACTGCAGATTTCCTTTTTCCATTACAAAATAGTATGGACTTTCCACTGGGGCTGTATCCAAATAATTTACAGCTGTATAAAACAGGAGCACAGCAGAAAATTCTGGACCAAATATAAATAATTTACATCATGGAGGGCAACAGCATCTTTGATTAATCTCCTGTGGCAAAATCCATATTTGCTTTCCTTCTCACAGTGAGCAGGCAGGAACAGGGGTACAGCATGCTACTGTCTTAGTTGTTTCATATTTGTGATTACTGAAACAGCATAGCTAAGTCCCATCATATGGCAAACCTGGAACCTACATGTAAAAATGCCTATGTTAATCTTTTTTTCTTTTTTAATACAAAAATGAGCCACCAAAGTAGAGGCCAGCACTTTGAAATTAGATCAAGTTATTCTTCTGTATTTATCATTTCAAAACTGGTATCAGCAACTAATAAATGGCTTTGGTGGGACAGGTGTAATTAGGCAGGTCCCATTAGCAGAGAGAAGATGTTTTTTTTTTTAAGTACGATCTTTTGCCAGTTCACAGGCTAATTTGCTCTTGCTATAACCAGTGGGAATAAGGGGTTGATGCTCCTCTGAGGTCTTAGCAGTGTAACCACTAGCAGCACTGGCTCAGCAGCAGGAGAGGGGAGTGTTAGTAGAAAATTTGAGGTTAGGTGAAGATATAGGGTGGAGCTCCTTCTATCGCTGTATTAAATGAACACCAGTGTTTGGAACAATTTGGTATCAACAGAATCAATTCTGCTCTGTCTTTCCATGTCATCGTGAGCTCATTATTAAGAGGGAAAGCTTGAAAATGATTTTGGGAATGGAGGAAGTGGTCACAGCTCTTACCACATTAGCCTACGCTTAGTTATCCAGAAGCAGGTTACAGTACAAGTCTGTGACAAAGTCCTTTAGCCAGAACTGCACAAGTACCTCTGCATAAGGTGAAAAGACAACAGGGGCTCAGGAACTAATAAAACGACTCCTCCTTGCTAGAAATGCCCTTTGCAGTTGCCCTGCCAAACGATTTGTTTTCTGCAACAGCACTACAGTCACGATCACAGCAGCAGCAGTGCAGCTTTAAAGTGCGGTAGGGGATCTGTGCAAAATTCAGGAGGCTCTACACTAGCACAGTGCTTTTTTTTGTTTGTTTGTTTGTTTTTTCTCCCAAGAGATGTGTTCTTCCCCCTGGACAGCCGTCTAGGGATGGGAGAGGAGCTAGAAAACACATTGCAATATGGCTCAGACACAGGCTCAAATCGCTTCATGTCTCAATTTCTGTAGCGGCTATTAACTGAGCTCCTCTCTCAAAGAAAACTCACATACATGTTAATACATTACTATTTTATTGCCTGCTTTCAGCTTAAGCTAATTTTGCTCTTATTCTCCTAGGTTTCTTAAGGGATTAATCAAAGATTACACTAAAATACCTGCAATTCAGCCCTATACCCATTTGTTACTGTTTGCTGAGGTCACTTCTGTTATGCTGAAAGCCCCAGATGCACAATTCTTGTCAACTGAGGCCATCCCACCCTAGAGGTAGTTCTGAACAGTTCACTTCTATTACTGGTTTTGTCAGATTAAATAGTACTGAGTATTTTTTCCTTTCCTTTCTTCAAAAACAAACCAAAACACTCACTCAGTGTAAGTAACCTTCAACAAAGTATTATGGAACCATTACAGAAGAGAAAATTCCATTCTACAAAAAATCTTTCCCCAAATATCCCTTTAAAAACAAATGACATTTCCAGGTAATTCTTAGGAGAAAAGAATACCAAGTTGTTAGTGTCACAGAGGTTTGATGAAGAAAACGTATTTGTTTTAGAAGTCTTATTATAACAAACAAAACAGAATTATTTGCTCTGTAAAACTTACAGGAAACTCCTTTATCAAATAGTTTTTTTTTTCCTTCTTCTTCCACAAAGCATATACTGAGGTAAAGTGAGCCTTTCTTAAGGTCTTCTGATCTACCTGATACCTAAACACAACGGTTTCAATGCTAGAAAAAAAAAAGGGGGGGGGGGGAGAGAAATAACTGTTTCCATTCAATCCCAAAGCTGTGGCGAGCTCTCCTCACCCCGAGAGCTGAGTTCTTGGAAATGGCCAGCAGCCAAAACACCAACCTGCCAATGGCCCAACCTCTTCTACCAAATTAATGCAAGACACTGAGTCACAGCCTTGTCCAGGGGGAAAAAGCAGAGGTAACGAGTTTACAGTAAAGAGGAAAACCAGAACAATTTTGTCATTAAAAACTAGCAAAAAAAAAAAAACACCTCACATGTAATTTCCCCTCTTCTGACATGAAATACCCAGGCCAGCAATTGTCCCTCTTGAACACATATGAGCACAAACGCGTGCGAAACTGAAACCTGTGACAAACTCGCAAAGCACTCAAACCAGGGTAGCTGGCCAGATTCAGCATTTAAAGACCATCTCAAACAGTCAACTACCAAGAGAATACACACTTGAGCCGATTTTTCTTTAACTGGGCTAAACACCAGTCCACGGTGCGATGCTACTGCTCTTCTGGAGTAAGCAATAGCATTCAGACAAATGCACCTGTATGACGCTCTCACAGATAATCTTGTAAAACCAGTAACAGCACAGGACCAAGCAGATAGAGTTTCATTCTGTATTTTTGCCTTAAAGCAGATGAGGTGGGAAACTGTAGGCATTAAAAAGCACATGTTCTGAAGTAACCTTAGAAATAAGAACAGCCTAGAGTTATTTTCCAAAGCCATCCAGTTAGTCCTCAAGGCGAGCAACGACTTCCCTTCCCTTCGCAATGGCTTTTTCAGAACAAGTTATCCCTATACCCATAAGCCAGGCTGATTGAAATAGCCATGTACTTTATACTCAAGCAAAGACTGGTGTGCAACAAAAGGCACCATCTTCCTTACAGAATAAGCAGCTCCACTGTTAAGCTTTTGAAGGTTTTAACATGTCTTCCTAATTTTTCTTTTCATAGCAGTCTTCCTGATCCCACACACACATGACATCAGGAGGATTTAGCATCATTTGCAGCATGTAATAAGACTCACACTGTTATGTGGCTGAACTTCAACAGAAATTGCCATGATCAAGAAGGGTAAAGAAACGGTATTTTTTTCTTCTCGGATTTGTTATTTTTTATAAAAAGTCTTGAGAAGGAGCATAAAGTGGAATGGTAATTACATAGGAATTACCATGTCTTGGAACAGCAATGGCAGATACAAGCCTCTCGAGAAGACTACAGCTTACATGCTAATTACTTTTGAGCCATACGCTGCAAAAAGGTGCAGTTCCTGCAAAATTACATCGTCTTTATATCAGTAAAATGCCCGTATTGTAATTACCTGCACTACAGGTATTCTGTGAAAGGGGTCACTATTTTTAATCTTTTTTGTAATGAGAAAAGGAGCATATGAATATTACTAACAAAGCTACTGCCTGTTACCATTCCTCAGTTCAGAAAATGATGCACAACATCATACACAGAATAATTAAAAAAAAAATCATAGCCAACATATTCCACTGTGAATACTCAGGAGCCTATTTCACCTCAATATAACACCAATGAAATCAATTTGAAAGAATAGAAATATCCATATAAGCTCACAAACTCACTCCAGTTTTCAAAGATACCGTGTGGCGTTTTCCCAGCACAGGCAACTAATGCGGTACTACGTGAGTGCCTGGGATGATGAGCAGGATTTACATTTTTATATAATGCCTTATGAAGCAGGGCTTAATTTTTCACTAAAAGTCTTGAAAGTCAAATATACTTTTCCATATAAAATAATGCCACTATTTAAAAAAAAAAAAAAAAAAAGGAAGGATGACCGTTTTGCATTCTTCCTAGAGGTGAAGGTACTTTGCATTCACAGTGAATAGTATAGCTGCTGAGTTCCTCCTCCTGTCCTTTTCATCCACAACCAATGAAGCTATTGAGTGTTACGGCAATCATTCCACCAGCTGAGGCAGCCCATTTGGGATCTACAGCACTAGAGAAATCAGTTGGATCCAAGAGTCTGACTGGACAAAAATCAAACCTACAGTTTGCTCAGAGTTGAGGACTAGCAGTCATTTCTAACCCTACTACTTTGCATAGGCTAATTGCTGCAATGTTGGCACTAAGTATACTTTCACAGCCCATTTTACGATCAAACGCAGAAAAGCATGCTTGCTTTGAAGTGAAACAAATAGTCCATCCATTATTTTTAATAAATACGGAAAATTGAAGCACCACTTAAATTTAGTGTCCTAAAGATAACTCTCCATCTGACTCAGAAAGCAATTCCCAATCTGAGATAGAACCACTTTACTCCACTTTGCAGGAAAGCATCTGACCTCAGGTAATATTAAGAATGGAGACATCCTCAGGATGGACTACAGTCATAGGCCAGTTCTTATTTATGCTAAAGCCTCTTTACTTTCCTGGAACAGCATAAAAGAGCTTAGCAAAAAAAAAAAAAAAAAAAAAAAAAGAAAGAAAGAAGGAAAGAAAAAAAAAAAAAAAAGAAGAAAAAAGAGAGACCTGGGCAGTTGATCTATGAAAAAACTTCCAGATACCTCTTCGTGGGTCCCACTCCCGGAGACGGAGGAATATCTTCCTTTCTGCCTTTCAAAAAAAAAAAAAAAACCAAAACACCAAAACACCAACCTAAAAAACAATGAATTGCTTCATAAAGAAGGTATGATCTGCCTTCCCCATCCCACACACCCTAGGAGAGGCACTGGGGAGGGACACATTACAGCTCCCAGAGCAGCGACAGGATGCATTGAGGAGCGATACACCAGGCTTCCAAGTTTGCTCTGTCCAGAGAGGAGCAGTCCCTGCCACTCCCCCTTCATCACAGCTGCATCAGCTGCACAGAGGAGGACTTGCAAACAAGCAACCCTGAAGTTACGACGTTACTTGAAGAAGAAAATCTGGAATGGTGTTTCCAAGCCATAAAAACAAAAGACAAATATTTCTGCCTTGTTTCAAGAAAAAAATCACATTGCAGAAGCCATCAAATAAATAAAACTTACCTAGTTCTTCCCTTTCTTTTAAAAGAAAAGGGACCAAAATCTGTGAAACTACTGGAGACTTAAACTTGCCCACACACATTCACTCCATCTCTCACACATACAAACATGCTTCCCCTCCCTCATCATGCCCAAATCACACTGCCTTCCTGGTATGCAAACGTTTCAGTCTGAATGCATTCATGTTCCTCCTCTACCCACAATCATATGGGTTTAGATAAAAGGTGCTATTCAAGTGCAAGGTACCAATATTAAATTAGGCCGTGATGCTGTCAGCAATGTTAAGCAGCAACTGTGCCCACAACGAACCCCGTTAATTTTGGCGGGGTGCCACAAGCCCAGTAGTCCTCTCCTGTGCTGTCTGGTACAACAGAGGGCTTTCATTCAAAGAAACTAGAAAGTTGGTGTTTGAACACGGGTCAAAGAAAAGGAGGGGGAGGGGGAATTTAAGAAGGTGCTAAACAAGGTACAAAAAAATACCCTGAGGTAACTTGCAGCATACAAACAATGAAATGGCAACAAATACGACTGCTGGGTCTCTGCACCAGGAGTACTGAGGTCCATTAAAACGTTGACAAACTTCAGCAGTTACCGATGCCATTGGCAAAACAGATCCAAACAAAATTCTTCTTAGAAACAGAAAGTCATGTTTTAAAGGAATCTAAATTTTTTAAAAGAGTATTTTTAATTGCTGACCGTGAAAACACACAGCAGTTTTTACCAGGTAAAGTCAGCCTTAAGTCAGGTGTATGTGACTAGCTTCCAATAGACAAAAAGCTGCACAACAAAAGTCTTTATCAATTAACGCTGGATTAACAGAGACTTGACTTGTGTTGAGGCTCCTGAAGGTATTTTACAAAGGAAAAGATAAACCCAAGCCACTTCATCTTAGCTTCAGGTAAAGTCACTAGGATCAAAATGAACTCTTTAGCATTCGTTTCCTGTCTCCCATATGGATGCTTTCACTTCTGTCTTTATATCCAAGCATTACTGGGGGTGGCAATTGCCCTAGAACAATCAGATATCAAACCTGAACGTTGTAAAATCAACAATCAATATTTGCACAGCTCTAAATGTTGCATTCTTACCATTTACAAGTAAGCAAGCATTGCTATAGGCACTGGTGCTTTAAAGTTAATAAGGTGGATGGAAATACGGTGTGTATATAAATACAAAAGTACCCATATACATACACTTAGGCAAATAAACAGTGATGCTATGAATGGTCTCTTCAGGGATGCCAGGAAGATCCACTTTCTTTTTCTTAAATATATAAACAATTAATCAGACCAGAGGTCAGTCTATTAGTTTTCATACAGCTGAACTGCAATCGTGACCTAGAATATGGCTTATATTGTGGGCAGGTCGGTTTGAGGACTGCTTGGAAGAATCGGAAGCAGATGTGTTTGCAATTGAAAGCAAAGGCGACATTGCTGAACCATCTGGAGGAAGAGCTGTGGCTATCTCTGGAAACAAAGATGTCAAGTTAAAATTGGATAAGTGTGACGTATTGGTCATGTGCATTGGTGGCATATCTGGAAGCAAAGGAAAACTTGGCTGAGCAAAACCAACAGGCCGAGGAGGAGATAAGATGGATCCAAATCGATTGTTTAAACTTCCACTACTCGGCTTCTCCGTGCTTGGATTAGGAAACATTTGGTTGGGAAAGTAAGGGATAGAAATGTCATTGGAAAGAGTAGGATGAGCAGGGGAGTAAGGTGGATAGAAGGACGGCAGCGTATTTTGAGGATCTACTGGGATTAGAGCCGGTGTTCGAGTGGCGCTAGGCTGAGTAACTGGTGGAATGAAAGAAGCATTGGCATTTATCGGGGGATTCATGCCACCCTCTGGAATAAAAGGGAATCCAAAATTCTGAGAGAGAGTGTGTTGGTCAGGGGCAGCATTATCATTAGACACCTGTGGACCATCAGACATAAAACGGACAATGCTTCCTCTTTTTTCTATTGCAGATTGTTGGCGCCCAAGAATCATACTGCCACTGGTAGACAGGGGAAGATGGGGAAGACTAGGGTCAAAAACATTTCCATGTCTTTGATTTCCAGATCGACTCCTTTCAGGTTGACGGATCTTAGAACCTCCGTTATCTTGCAGAGGATGCCTCGACCGCTGAGTAACTGAAGAATTTGGTTGACGAACAGAAGGTTGCCCTTGTTCAGCATTTCCGTGAGAAACTGCAGGGTGGGGGTGAGCTGGCCTCACCACTCCATGCATGTTGCTAGAAACAGGCGTATTCATGTGG